AAATGAGAAAAAAAGTCCAAATTCTCAAGGAACTCAGTTTCTAGCAGTGAATCACAATGAAAGCGCAAAGAGAAATATAGGCAGAAAGTGCCCACTCCTGACAGCTGAGGGCCCCTCCCCTTTCACAGGATGCCAAGACCAAGGGGCTGCACATTCTGCCTACAGCCTTTCATGAATCTATACCACCCCTGACCTTGATAGCAGGTTCTCCTGACTGGACTGTATTTGACTTTGCAAACTATTAAATGACAAAATCTTTAAACTTCATCACTCTCAGTCAGTTATTCCTTGAATGTTTTCCTCCCACACCAATCATATTGAAAACTTGTCTTTATTTAATTTTATTTTTCCACACTACTCTGAGCAAGGCCTGGAGCTGTCCTTGCTGTGAACCTTGAGTTGTATTAAGAAAGGTCTTTGGAGTCAGTGTGAAGTCTAAAAGTTGGGAAGTGTGTGCTGGAGTGCAGGATGCACCTTGACGCACTCAAGAAGTGAAGAAGACTTCATTGGGAGCTGCCTTCTGGATATGGCAGAATTTTATATCATTTATAGGATGCCAGTGAAATATTATTCAGATTCTAGCTCTAGTTTCTTTTTGCATTGGTTTGAGGATTATTTCAGTCTTTATAATTATTTATGAAACACTGGGAAAGAAGTGCAGTGTGAGAAACATTTATAGTTGTATAAATTAAAGTATTTTAATATCAAAACATGAGTGTATAGGTCAGAGCCTGTGGAAAATTGGTTTTTGTCCCACTTCCCCATCTGCCTGTTTCACTGTGAACAGCATTACTGTGCCACGTCCCACAGTAATAGTCAGCCTCATCTTCAAGTTGGAGCCCAGATATCTGCAGAACACCTGCATTGGCTGAGGTATCTTTGGATCCAGAGAAACGACTGGGGACCCCAGTGCCATGGTTCTTGCTTGACTCTGAGTAGTAGCTCAGGAGATACTTGGGAGGACTCCCTGGCTTCTGCTGGTACCAACTGATCCAGTAGTTGCCAACACTGAAGCCACTACTCAGAGTGCAGGTGAGCTTCGAAGATGCTCCCGGAGATACAGAGAGAGATGGCAGTTGAGTCAGCACAGGCTGGGAGAGGGAACCTACAAACAGAAAAATAGGTAAGATAGTGTCCATGGTAAAACTTCTCTTAGGTCCAAACCTAAAGAGTTGATGCAAATAGTGAATAGAGAACTGCTACCTATGCAGTGAGAGAGCAGCAGGATGAGAAAAGTAGTCCAGGCCATGGTAGACACAATTTCCTATGTCCCACAGTGGAGGTGAACTGTCACAGATCTCTTTTTCTTTCCCCCTTTCTGCAGAGGAGGGGCTACTCATGCAAATGTTTCCATCAAGACTGCCCCAGGCACCCCACCCCACTGCATCCAGGTGCTAGAGTTCAGCTCAAACTACAGACTAAAGAGAATGAAGGCTTCTTTTACCACTTGGGGGAACCTTGGGAGGAAGGGCTGTTGAGACAAGACATAGTTCTCTGACCAGGGGACCCTGCTTTGCAAGAGTTAAAACACTGATAAGTCCCCTTTAGTTAACACAGGGCCCCTCCTCCAGACCAGGACTCCTTTGAGTGAATGGTCCTTACTGAGCAGCTGTGTAGAGACCACAAGATAGCCCCACAGTGTCCCCTGCTGGTCACAGGGCAAATCTTCCCATGGTCCAACATCTTGAGAGCCCAACAGGTTTCTGTAGCTCATCAGTAACTGTCTATATACAGAAGGTTGGGTTCCTAATTACTGTAATTTTGATATGCTTCCATTCTCTCTCCCTTTCAGAAGTTTTTTTTGTATTTTGGAATGCACAAAATCATGAAAAAATGATAACTTAAGGAGTCAGGTCTCCCATTGAAGAGGTTGCAAACTCCATATGACTTCATGGGTATATAATCTACAATATACATATATTTTTACCATTTTAATATTTGTTTATGAAATAAACTTATTACCATGATTCCCACCTAATTGAACTACATTTTAATCTCTCACTTTAAGCCCTTTTAACTCTTAAATTAATTATAATGTTAGAAATCACATTGAATCTTAGGGCTTACAGCTGTAGATCTCCTGTTGTGCAAGATTGTACTAGAATAAAATCCAATCTGGGACATGCATTCTTGGACAGTCAATAATCAACTTCCTTCACCCACTCCAAATGCAGATACATTTTTTTTCCTATGGATTCAAGAGAGCCCATCAATATTTCCTTTCAACTTTTTTAACAATGGTATTTGAGGGATTGAATAGTTTATTAAGAGACTATGTCTGATTTCTTTCTCTCTCATATATGTATCAATCAGATGCCCCACCTGTATTGAAATTAGGTCTCTGCCTTCCTTCCTCACTTCCACTAAGTCAATCTTTTTATTCCCAATCTCTGCTGTGCTGTTGGATTTCCTGTATTCTAAAAGGTTGTGCTATACATTGTGTCCATATTCTTATTCTTTGAGATGGGAGGACCGCACTATTTCTTATGCCATCGTGACTGTAGAAAATGACACTATCTACTGTCTGGAATTATTTTCTTAGATTGTGAATATTTTAAATCTACAATAATATTTCAAAACTTTTCAAAATTACTGAGATTGCATACAGTTTCTTACTTGACCCCAAGGTAAATTTAACCCAGGGATTGTGCTATTTTTGTTTTCTCTGTCAGTGGTTCTCTGCTACAACTAATCTTTGATATTAAATAAGCACATATAGAGGTAATAAGAGGTAACAAACACCTATATAGGCCACCACAAATTCACAACGTCTTCTCCTCCAGAGTAGTAGTCCCTTTCACTTCTTAGTACCTGGAAAACTTTATGGTGCCAGAAAATGTGTAACTGTGGAAACTCTGATTACAATTTATAAAATTTAATTAGTTTATGCCAATTGCATTGAAATTTCAGCAGAGAAAGTATTATATTATGAAAGACTGGAATTTGTGAGTTGTAATGTTTTTAATTTAATTTAATTTTTTTTCAGTATACATGAAATAGAGTAGTATAGATATTCTGCCATATTTAATGTAAACATGAAATATGTCTTATTATAATTAGGATCCCAGTCTTGTGGTTGTTCATGATGTGGAGATTCATTGTAATATATAAATAAAGAAATATATACACACACACAAACACAATTGTGTCTGATATGTAATTTTAATGGACTATTTATCTTAGGTGATATCCTACTCCACTTGTCAGATTTATGTCTGTGGAACAAGAAATACAGTGTCCTTCCAAATCTATTCTATTTGGTACCCTCAGGCTGAGGAACAAAGTCAAGATCTTTCTCCCTTAGAAGTCTCTGCTGTGTTATCATTCTCAGTCTGTGGAAATGACATTGAAGAAAGAAGTTTTTTCTATTTTCTAGGACAATAACCCACCAAAGGTGCACAGACAATGTCTCCAATTGGCAGCACCCTGGATGTAGATCTGCAGTTACATTAAGGACCCATAGAAATCCCTCAGTTCTGGTGTATGAATAAAATGTTCCCTCAAATATTCCCTGAGCTGTGCATGACCTGATGACTGTCTTCAGATTAAAAGAGCAATGATGTCCATCCTTAATGATAGGACCCAACAGATTTTAAAACAGTATCTACATAGTGAAGAAAATTAAAGAGAATACAGCTGATCTCTAACCAATGTTCCCTGCACACTTAAATATTTGAAGCTTGTGTGAAACTCAACAAAGTCTCATCACCCATGGTCTGTGATCATCCCAACAAAATGAGTTGTCCATCAACTCAAGGAAGATGACTCCCCTCCTCATATTTGCTTTGCTGGCTCATCATGTAAAAAATTTGTATATTTCAGAGTAGTGATTACCCTTATTGTATATCATATACAAATGCAAATAATACTGTATCCTGTGTTGTTCACATTGGTAAAACTTTATAATGACATTTACAAGAATGTACTCAGCAAGGCTCGAACATTTTCCACACTTTCATCACCTCAATAGGAAGACTAGGGCTGGGCCAGGGAAACTGGGTAAATTGAAGGTGTATATACTAGGTGAGGTCCCCCTCACCCCAGAAAAATAGTCATGTTTTTTCTTAAATTAATTGAGTAAAAATCCATGTATGGATAAGAGAATCCCCAAGTGGTTAGAAAAGATATACGGCTAGGAATAGAATCACTGTTCATCTTCCTGGAGTCATCATAGAAAGGTAAGGTTAATATATACCATTATAAAAATGTTTGGTTCCCCTCAAAATGTCCATATTTTAGTTACAATGCAATGACTGATTGTTTAAGAAAAAAAGGGCCCTTTAGGGGGCAGAACCTTCATGAATGGGATTCATGTCCTTAAAGAAGAGGATTGAGAAGGTGGTTGTGTACCATGTGTAAATGCAATGAGAAGAAGCCATGTGTGAACCAGAGAGTGGGCCACCAGCAGACACCAAATATACCAACACATGGATCTTGGACTTACCAGCCTTCATTAAGAGTAAAAAGTAGTTATCTATTGTTTATAAGCACATCAGTTTAGGGTATCTTGATAGAGAAACCTGGAAGGGATATGATGCTTGTGGAAGAGCACAGGACACTGCAGACTATCTTAGGTAAGAAAAAGTGCTCCTAATGATGCACATCCATAATCCCATATAGTAAGTGACATTTTCAGAGAGAGGGGTAAGTAAGGGAGGCCAGGCTTTGGCATGGTGACCTCAAACTCAGTTCCCTGAGCTTCTGCCAGTGTTAGGACACAGCATCTAGCATCTCTTCAATCTTCCTTCAACACACTTGTAGGATGAATTTTCTTTATTTGAGTATGCTCCTTATCTCGCTGAAGTCCTTGTATGAGCAGAAGATTATTTTTGTGCAGAACAGAGATGGTTACTTTAGAGCCTGATTAAGTGGGGTGTCTGTTGCTAGGAGTCTCTGTGCTCACTTTTTACAAACATTATCACCTCACTCTCAAAGAAACTGTTTGAACATCATCATTGGAGATACAGAACTTTTTTTTTCTGAGCCTATAGAGAGAAAAATAATTCTCAGAGAGAATGACTAGAACTAGTAGTTACAGGAGAAGGTAACCTAATACTTGAAGCTGGTCAAAAGAGCTGCACTTAAATGTGATATACCTAGTGCTGCCCAGTTGCTTTCAGATTTCATATGTTTCTGAGTCAGGTCTAGATTCTGGTAGGAAAACCATGGGCCAACCACCTTCTTTCTATGTATTTAGTCCCCGGAGAGAAAGTGAACTCTGAGAAATGATATTGTAGGATAAGAAGGTATTACCATTGGATTAAATCAATTTCTTACAATGAAGAAAAGAGGAAGACATTTCTAATACATTGATTCTAGAAAAATCAGATGCTGATTGAAGAAATGAGAACAAGTGCCACCACCTGAGCTAGATGTAGTCCCAAGCAGTGCAACCGTGACTGCACCAAGCAGAGAGAATTCATTGGAGGGTTTAGTCTCTCTTCTCCATGGGTCTGGAGCACTGTATAAGGCTTAGAGTTGTCATTCCAAATATTAAGATAATAGCCTTATCTTCATTCTTCAGCCCACAGATGTGCAGAACACATTCATTACATGAGGTATCATTTAATTCAGAGAAGGGGCTGGTGATCCTGAAGCCCTGCTGTTTACTTGTGTTTGAGTAGTAATAAAGGAGACACTGGGAAGGTGGGAAGGGCTTCCTGGCTTCTACTGGTACTAATGTATTCCAAAGTCACCAGCAATGAAGCCTAGTCTCAGGTTACATGTGAGTCTTGTGGAGAGGGAGAATAGCTGAGTCAGCCTAGACTAGGACAAGAAAAATGAAAACACAGATACTCAAGATTGAGCATATGCTATCAAAGTTTGAGTTGCTGGATGATCTAAGATCTAAGGTGGGGTCTGATTGGAGCAAGGATGCTGCCCCTTCCTGAGAAATGAGACAAGATCAAGAGGAGAATAGAACCCCAGGAAATTGTGAACACATTCCCTGTGATGTCCAAACTGGAGTCATCTACCTGTGACATCTCTTATCCTCTCCACTGGTCTCACAGGGAGGAGTTATTGAAGCAAATGTGGTCCTATCCATTTCATGTCCTACCCCTCAGCATGCATTCATTCAGGTGCTGGTTGATGAGAGTCTGGCAGGAAGTACCTCAGGAGGCAGTACTAGGATCACCCTCAGATAGGACAAAACTGCTGCATTGGCACTACAGAGTGCAGCTCCACCGTCCATCCTTGTGCTTGGGAAAGCACAGCTGTGCAGTTGGAGACTGTCCAACAGTGCCTCCTGCTGCTCACTGG